AGAAGAAGAAGAAGAAAAAGAAGAAGAAGAAGAAGAAGAAGAAGAAGAAGAAGAAGAAGAAAAAGAAGAAGAAGAAGAAAAAGAAGAAGAAGAATCCCAAACAGCTATAAACTCCTCCCTCCCCACAAGTTCATTTCGACAACCTTATCTTTAGTTGTGAACATCAAAACATTTCCATTCCTATCTCACCATTTGTTTTCAGCCTGCTAAATCCAAAAGCGTCGTTTGACAAAAATGGGGAGACATCACAGAAATGTTTCCAAAATGTTACCAACTAAGCTAAAAAAAAATGCTGTTATTTGAAAACATGTCAAGCGGCAAATTTGTTTGCAAACGAGGCAGGGGTAGGCCCAGAGCAACCTACTTAGGGAAACTAAACAAATGGGTAACGGGGAAAGATCAGGGAAACGTAGCTTTTTTAAGAGCATCCGAGCAAAGGAAAGAATGGAGAACCATGATCGCCGATGTCTGTCGCAGATCTGGCACTGGATGATGATTATACCATGGACATGGACTGGCCTGGATATGGCAGAATGTGCAACGGCAGCTCGCGACCGTGAAAGATGGAGGGTCATTACACGTCAACCTCTGAGTCAGAGATGGCACTTCCAGGTATCCAGGTATCCAACCGGATGCCCATAGCAGATGGGATCGGGTCGGGTTGAGTCTGGTCTGGTCGGGTCGATCACCCGACTCGTCGCATGAAAACAAACGTGTTCGTTTTTGAGGCGACGAGTTGGGCACCTTTGGCTTGTGCCACGGCGCCCTCGGGGTGCCCACTAAGGCTGGATCGGGCCGATCGCCCGACTCGATCGCCTGAAACTGAAAATGAACACGTTTGTTTTTGAGGCGATCGAGTCAGGCGATCGACCCGATCGACCGATCCTATCCGTAGTGGGCACCCCGTATTAGCAAACCGACCCGACCCGACCCGATCCCCCAAGGAATCAACAACCAAAAAAAAAGGTTTGGTACTGCCCGCCTACATAATGTATTTCCCAAGCGGGGCGTTAAATAATACCTATCAGTATCAGTCACTGTCACTACCTGAGGGATTTTCGCTTCACTCTACTTTTGTTTGCTTGACTTTTTCCGGCTTCTCTAACCTTACGGCGTTAACACCCTTCTCTTGTTCGTTGTATCGCCAGTTGTATGGTTAGATCTATACTGTTTTTGTAGAGGGAGGCATTGCCCTGCCAAGAGCGAAATGCTCGCAGCTAAAGGGATTTGAAAACAACAACAACAACAACAACAACAACAACAACAACAACAACAACAACAACAACATACTGTTTTGTCTATTTTTGTGGCGTCGGTAGCCTAGTGGTTAGGCTACCGGACTCGTAATCGTGAGATGGCGGATTCGGGGGTTCGAGCCCCAGCTCGGTCCGACCTTGTGTCCTTGGGAATGACACTTTACACGAATTTCCCACTTGGCTCGGTCCTTTCGGAGACGGACGTTAAAGGGCCCCGCCTCTTAAATAACCTAATAATATCGATAGGGGCGTTAAACCCATACCATTTTTTGTATATTTTTTCTTCTGCCCTCAACCCCCATCAAAATGACCAAAATCGCCCTCCAATGGGCGATATCGCCCAGGTTGACAAGCGCTGGCCAATATTAATACCAGAACTCTCCTCGATTTGAAGAGGAGAAATGATAATACAAACTGGCACTGAAGAACAACATCAACGAGGCCTTCTTCTGTTTCAGTCATAAAACAACAATACTTGTTAAAAACACCGAATATCTGTGTTTTGCACGTCTCTCTGAACCGTATATTCACAATATTCAGTGTTGTACGCAGGTTTTCATTTCGGTCAGTCTGGTTACGGTGTTGTTTCGTGTGGGCTTTGATCCTTTGTTGTGGCTGTTGCTGTTTTGTTTGTTTGTTTGTTTGTTTGTTTGTTTGTTTGTTTGTTCATTGTTTTTGTTGTTTGGGGGCTTTGCTTTTTGTTTTTTGTTTTTGAGGATGAGGCGTCGGGGTAGTGGAGTGGATTGGAGG